AAATTTGGAGTCTTTTAATCAACAAAGCTGTGTACGTTCTGTTATATGCCAGTTTATTTAAAAAAAATAGTGCATGTGGATGATCTGCATTCAAAGTCGATGTGAAATAGCCAAGATATGCACAGTTTACATCATCAGTTTACTTTAAACTTGCATACTTGTGTGCCATTCTGTAGCATACTACAGTGCAAGGTTGGTGAAAATGGAGTGCTAAAGTTGGCGCAACACATCAGATGCATTTGAAACATCATTTCCTTCTGGAAATATTTATATTGAATATTTTCATGCATTAAAGAACTTATATTTGAGACTTCCTTTCTTCTTATTTGGGACGCAACTTGCTGTGTTGCTTGACAACCATAAGCAGCCTACAGTTAGGATCATGAGACTAATATATTTTTTCTTCTGACTATTATCATTACTAACAAGAAGAATAAACAATTTGCCATAATTTAGTTATTTTAGTATCATTGAGATACTATTATATTTTTTATGAATAATTTGAATGTTTTGACTTTTAAAGTTTGCTTTCATTTTAATATTACTTTTAGTAACTTTGTTGGTGCGTTTGTCATTTTTATTTTTTTCTATATAGCTTTATTACTTTTTCAGTACATCAACTTGAACTAAATGAAAATGAGGAATGTTAAATAAAATAATTTGTTTCAGTTAAAGTCTATTTTAAGTAACAAAAATGTTTTAATGGTTTTAGTTTTAGTTTCATATAATATTTAGGGAACTTTCAGGCAATTTGCCTTGGATTGTCCCTTGTAACAAGGTAAAAACACCTAACACGTGGCCTTTCTTGGCATTGTGTTTAATAGACCGCTTCTTTGATTCTAACGTGAGCAATCTAGCTTTTGCAGTGTGTACTTGCGTGTTTGCTAGCAGCGAGTGTGAGTTTGACTAAATGCTGTTCTGTCACGCTGACACGGAGGGCGTGAGAGGGAGGGAAAGAGAGAGAAGGTGTGAATGTGGTGATAAAGGACAGTATTCTTCTACTTGTGTGTCTGGGTCTCAGCAGAGAGTTCAGTGGGTTAGAGCAGGCCAGCGTGACCATGTTAGCAACACAGCCAGTACTATGTGAGCGGCTCCCTTATCTCCTGCATCCTCCGCTTGCATGCTTGCTTCTTTCTCTGTGTCCACCTGTTTTTTCCCTCCCTCATTGTTCGTCTCTGTTTACTTTTCTCCTCTCGGTTTCGTAAGCTATTTTGTCTCTCATTCAACCCTTTCATTCTCTCCTCTGATCCGCAACACCTCTCTCTCTTTCACTCGCTCTCTCTCTTTCTGTCTGTTCTTTCTATTCTTCAGGTCAAGTCTACTGTGATGGTGTCTGCGATAACCCAACAGACAAAAATCTACCTAACAGAATGTGTATGCAAAAAATGTCTTTTGCATCTGCAGGATGTTTTGATACTTTTGTTCATCAGTTTTTCCAGTGTGTATCTATTGTCTACCTGAAAAAAAAAAACACTTAGCAACGACATGTCTGTCTTTTGTTTTGGTTTGAAAGACATGTTAAAGAAAAGTTGTTACCGACAGCACAGAATTACCACAGAACATTTTGTATAGTTTTTTCATCGAAAATTACAGTTGCAGTAACAAAGCATATAATAAACATTAAAATACACATGGTTTTAAAAGTAACCACAAGACTTTTATACGTGTTGGCGACGTGCAGTGGTTATAAGGAATGTGATGTAATGCTGCATTGGAAGGTTCCTACTTATGAGTTTGGAAATGATAATTGCAGTACCACATGATGTACGTTCAAGTCATTTTAGTCGTAACAAAATGGACTAACAGGACAATTATCATATTTTTCTCTCTCTTTTTCACTTTTTGACAAAACCAGGAAGCTTTTTAGCGCTAATGCAACATAATGAAGAGCAAAGGATGCATATTACGTGTGTAATTGATGCTTTATCTGTGTTTTATCATTCTAGTTCGGCTGTAGAGAATGATGGGAAATGTAGTTTGATGTGACAAATATATAGTAATAAACGAGCAAAATGAATATTATTTCCTGACTGAATTTAGCACACAAAATGAATACAGATACACAGATTTTACTGCCAGCATTCACAATTATTGTGATCAGTGGCAATTTGCTTCCATCATGATTCTTGAAATGACACGTCATGATAACTCTAAAAGAACTTTTAAAGAAAGTCCTGAGTTTCCCACTAGTCATTTTGACTTGATTACGTGCTCAACTCTGACATGAACTGAATTCACCATAAATGGCCATTTACAACAGACTACAAGAATTACATTGCTAATGTAAAACCAGAAGTTCATCCGCTTAGAAGAGTAGTCCCACTTTAAAAGAGACATTTAGTCAACTTTACAGCTCAAATAACATGTTTTATTGAATAATTCATGTAAGTGCTTTAATAAAAATACAGCCCCTAAATTTGTGTTTTAAAACCCTCTGGAACCCTGTGGCCTGGTTTACTTTCATTGTAAGTACACCAACATTCAAAAGTTTGGGGTCAGTAAGATTTCTTTTTAAAAGAAATTAATACATGCATTCAGTAAGGCTGTGCATTGAACTATTTAAAAATGACTGTAAAGACATTTATAATCTTACAGAAGATTTTGATTTCAAATAAATGCTGCTCTTTTGAACTTTCTGTTCATCAAATAAGCTATAGCCTATTAGAATACTAAGCACAACTGTTTTCAACGTTTATAATAGGGAAGAAATGAATGATTTCTGAAGGATCATGTGACACTGGAGTAATGATGTTGAAAATTCAGCTTCGCTATCACAGAAATAAAGTACATTTTAAATTATATTAAAATAGAAAGCAGCTTCGAAAAATCTCACAAACCCTAAAGTTGACTGGTAGTGTACTGTATGTTACTGTAAATACAAATATTGCCTGGGCGACAAGTCAGATGTTTTCTATGCCACAAATACTGAAGTTGTGTTGAACTCAAAAACATTCCTTTAAAGTCACGTGTGTGCGGGTATCGGTCAGTCTAATTGTAGTACGTGAAGTGTGTGTTGAGTGTGTGTCGAGAGTCTGTTCTCTCCACTGTAAGAGCTACTGATAACCTCCCTAACCTGTGTGACAAGGACAGGAAGCTCTTCTCCCACAGGAATGCCACACACACACACACACACACACAAAGCCTTTTTTCTCACACACGATTCTGCTTTTGTTTCTTATGAGCAGGAACGACTAGCTTTAATAAACATGCCCTAGTTTAGCATGCTATGGTAATGTATGTGATTTGTGAATGGATCCACCCATCATTACGTGAATGTGTTTCCGCATTTCTTTTCACATGGAAACATGAAGCCCGTAAAAAAAACTAAAGCCCAACCTGGCTTAATTTGTTTACATGTAAATAGCCGTTGGTGTGGCTGGCTGTTTAGAGATGATGATAAAATGGTAATTAGCATCTGTGAATCGTTTAGTCATTTGTTTACATAGAAAGAATTCAAAGGAAACTCCCTGAGATTCCGCAACAGCCAAATTCTCCTGGAAAAATTGGAAGCTCCAGACACGTCCTCTGCTGTGCTTTGATCTGACACGGTTTCCTTTGGAAACAAGCGTTTCGGGGTGGGATTTGGATCCAGACCGGCCTATTCATTCTCATTAGAGTCACTTGTTGAAGATAGAAGAACAAAATATCCTATTTCTAGAAATTCAGTCGTCAAAAACCTTGAAGTCTCAGCACCTTCAGATGATTTACACAGCGGAAGAGAGCACTTTCATTAGGGCTCTGAAAAAACAGGAAGAGAGACGAGCAGAGTAGATGAATGAAGTGTAAAAGAAGAGGATGAGTTTCTACTTGTAGAAGGTAATTTATTGAATAAAGAAACACAGCGAGAGTAGAGTGTGGTTGGATCCACACCTGCGCCAGTAAATGCCAGCCTGCTCCCGAGGCAGCCAGCATACCCACAGAAATGTTCATGAGAAGTGTGGTTTTGTCATTGAATGTCCTGAAGCGAGAGGTTATAGTGGCAGATTAAGCCAGTCATTTGTATCCCATGATGCATCCGTGCCCTCTTTGCTGATCCGTACAATTGACAGATTTTTGCAGGTTTGCTCTGCCACAAGAGGCGGGGCATATAGGACCTACAATAATGTACAGTATTTGAAAAATAATGTGTTTTTTGAACATTAAAGCATGTCAACATATTCTGTTACACCAAATACACAAAATAATGATCTTTAAAAAAGCATCATATGACCCCTTTAAAAATATTAACGTTTTTATTGTATAACATGTTTTAAACACTGGATGTGCATTTTGCTGGTTAAATGAAAACAAACTGATTAAATTCAATGTGACAAGCCATTTGCAGCCTATATTTTTTTTTTTTGTAGTGTGACATATTTATGAATAAGACTAGAGCAGGGCTGTCCAAACTCGGTCCTGGAGGGCCGGTTTGCCTCTAGTACAGGGCTGCCCAAACTCGGTCCTGGAGTGCCGGTGTCCTGCAGAGTTTAGCTACAGCTTGCCTCAACACACCTGACTGGAAGTTTCTATGCCTAGTAAGAGCTTGATTAGCTGGTTCAGGTGTGTTTAATTAGGGTTGGAGCTAAACTCTGCAGGACACTGGCCCTCCAGGACCGAGTTTGGACAGCCCTGGACTAGAGGATATTTAGTGAAAAAAAGGAAGGAACTGATTTTGCATTGAATTTTGTATTCAATTGAAAAGAGTTACAAACCAGAATGGAGCTAAATGGAAATGCAAAAAAAAAAAAAAATCCACAGTTTCCACAAAAATATTAAGCAGCACAACTTTTTTTTAACATTGATAATAATAAAAAATTATTTCAAAACATTTTTAAAAACATTAAAATAGAAAGCAGTTATTTTAAATTATTTAATATTTTTATATAATAATTAATATAGTTTTATTCACTTACATGACTTGCAAAAGTGTCTTTTATTAATTATATTTTTTTATTTTTAAATGTATGTTTCTAATGTCATGACATTAAATTCTCTTTCTTTCCCTCTCTGTCGTTCTCCAGGTTTAGCGATGATAAGGGTTATGTCCTGTACCCTCAAATCGGGGATCGTCTGGACCTCATTTGCCCAGCGTCTGAGCCGCCAGGTCCCCGGTCCCCCGCCGAATACGAGTACTATAAACTGTACCTGGTGTCGTCACGGGATCAGGCAGACAGGTGTGAAGTGACCGGAGCCCCCAACCTGCTTCTCACCTGCGATAAGCCCAGCAGTGATATGCGTTTCACCATCAAGTTTCAGGAGTACTCGCCCAACCTGTGGGGTCACGAATTTAAAACCAATCAGGACTACTTCATCATCGGTGAGTGCGATTTGAATTAAAGCATGTCTGTTGACACACATCAAAACTTTCGATTATTTTGCCAAGCAAGTTTTAATTGTGAAAAGGTTATCTGTATATAATAGACTTACACTTTGTGTGTTCATTCAGCATCCGCCCTTGTTTATTGTTTTAATCAGTGTTAGAAGGGATGGCATGATGGTTTTCATCACTGCGTTTACATTGGGTTTGTTTTTAGGTCAGGCTAGTCGGTTCTCAGCGAAGTCACAATCTTCTGCTGGGATTCGGCTGATTGTGACTTTATCAACTGGAACCATCTTGTGTTGGGTTGTGTTACTGGGGGTTGTTTTTAAAACAGTGCACAGTAGCGTAGAGGGAATGAGGCCAACGTAAACGGAAGCCCGTCAATATCAACATGTCAGAAAGTAGATTTGACACAGGAAAGTGATGTCCTAACACGCTTAGACCCAAAACACGCAATGGGCGTGTTTTTAGCATCTATTGCCAGAATTCCCCCAGTCATAGAATACCTGGAAAAGTAAGTGAATTTGAAAAGATTTTCCGATCTAGCAAAGTCATGGAGGTGTAATAAAAGTCATAGAACGTTCTAGTGAATATATGTTTGTTCGTTCTAGTTTGATGTCCCTAAATCCTCAGTTGAAGCACACTCAATTTTGTTTGGTCATTTTTGACACATTTGTATATTAAAAAGTATATTTGTTGTCACAAAACCTGAAACTGCATTTGCAACCAACATTTTAATTCCATAATGTGATATGGTTCCAAAAAGGATATTCAGCAGCTGGAAAAAATGTAAGTCTGGGCTTAATTTTATCCATCAGGAAATGATTTGCTCATGAAATTGGACGTTAGTACAACCCTGGTGTGTACAAATGAATTATGCAGAGTAAAAAAACATGTGTATTAAGAAAGTAAACAGAGTCATTTTTTGAATATACACTACTGATCAAGAGTTTGGGATCAGTAAGATTTTTGTTTTTGAAAGAAGTCTTTTATGCTCACCAAGACTTCATTTATTTGATCATAAATACAATAATAACTGTAATATTGTGAAACATTATTACAATTTAAAATAACTCTTTTGTATTCTTAAATATTTTAAATGTAATTTATTCCTGTCATGGCAAAGCTTAATCAGCAGCATTCCTCCAATCTTCAGTGGCAAATGATCCTTCAGAAATCATTCTAATATGCTGATTTGGTGCTCAAGAAAAATTCTTATGATGAATGTTGAAAACAGATGTGCTGCTTAATATTTTTGTGGAAATCATGATACATTTTTTTCCTTTGTTACATATAAAAATAGTATTTATTTGAAATAGAAATCTTTTGTAACATTTTATCTATCTTTAATGACAGTTTTATCCTTGCTGAATAAAAGTAATAATTTCCATAAAAATATCTTACCACAAACTTTTGAACAGTAGTGTATTTTATTTAAATATACGATTTCCAATGATTGGTACCTTATGTATGGAAATCTCTCCTAGCAATATCTATAATAGAATTTTTCTAGAAAAATCATGGACTAGTCAAGGAATTTGATTGGCTAAGGTGTGTGAGCCCTTTATTCACATAAAGAAACAGAAATTTTGGAAGAGAAAGAATGGATGTGACCAAAAAGAGAGATGATGGCTCTTTCACCAGGGTTAGTTATCAGTCAAATTGTATTCATACTTTTCAAAACCAGATAATGATGTGATCCGCATTTCAAACACAGGAGATAAAAGATTGTTGGTGCTTAGGAGCCTGAGGTTATATTTTTGTGTTTGTTTTTATGACATGTGCAAAGTGTGTGTGTGAAGGTGTGGCGGGTGTCTTGTGTCTAATATTAGTAGTTCAGGTCTCGCAGACACTGTGTCTCTGTGATAAGAATCAAACTCCTTCCACTGGCTCCTTAATGGGCAAACAAGTGTGAGTTTTCTGGTATGTGGACGTCAGGAAGAATCCAGGGCGCTTCCGTGTTCTGTTAAGCCTTAACGTAGGTGTCAGTGGCACTCACACACACACACACACACACACACACACACACATGCTGCAGGCTTTATCGTTGCTCCAACAGGCCCGACGAATCGATCGGCAGGCTGTGCCAGTCTATGAGTCCTCAAATGCAAGGTCAGAGGCACACACACACACACACACACATATGCTACGAGATGAAAAAAGAGTGTGAGAGAAACCATCAAACAAGCATCCACATGGAAAAAAGGAGAAAAGTGATTTTAAGGGTCATTGAACATTTAATTTAGTGTTTATGTGTGTGCATACGTGTTAAAAAATTGTTGTGTGTGTGCGATTTGGGTGCATTTGTACAGCATCTGTCATGACTGGTTGATGTTCTATTTTCCAAAAGAGTGCACATTTGATGGCTTCTGACATCTTTATGCCCATGTGTTGGCGCATATGTGTGTGTGTGTAAGGGTATGTGTACATTAGAGATTTGGACCTTAGGGAGAATGGTATTAATTAACCTACCTTAACATGCGCTAATTTATTCAGCCTAGCTCAAATGAGCTGGAACAGGAATGATTCATGAAATAGAGAGAGAAAGAGAGAGTGTTTATGTGGAAGAGAGCATTGACAGGTCATTATGGCTGCTCCAGTCTCATTGTCTAATTATCACATGGGTCATGAAGACGCCCTTAGGTCACTAATAACAGTGTTTACACACTCTCACACGCGTGCATTTAAAGGAATAGTTCACCCTAAAATCAAAATGATCATCATTTGTTAAACAATTGTCATAATTTACCCACTTTCATGTCCAAATCTATGACTTTCTGCACTATTCAGTAGGCTATATCTGTATCATATTAGCGGTGTTACTTATTTTAGTATTATTTATAAGCTATTATTGTACTTATTAATATTGTGAATTTTAGGTTTAAAGTTTAATTCTGTATTTTTATTTAAAATTGTTTTAGTAATTTTGTTATGTACTTTTGTCATTTTATTTTTTTATCTATTTCTATTTAGCTTTAATTTATTTTAATTTCAGGTTTAGTTTGACTAATTTTAGTGCTTAAACATTTCAATTCTAAGTTTTTCATATGATATTTATATTTTATTTTATTTAAATTAATGACAATTTTGAATAATTTCAGTTTTATAATCAGTTTTTAGTTTTATGCATATCAGTTACCACACAATATTTTATTATTTTATTTTATTTTATTTTTATTTATTTATTTTTTGGTTTGGTTTAGTTTAGTTTAGTTTAGTTTAGTTTAGTTTAATTTAGTTTAGTTTAGTTTAGTGTATAGGGCATCTGTATATATCTGTGTAGTGTTTATCTGTATAGGGCAGCATTGAATATTTTTAAAAGCTAATTTTAATAAATGCCTAAATTCACTTTTAAATATTTTAATTTTATTTTTAGTGGGGTTTATTTTATATTTTTATTTTATTATTTTATTATGTATTTGTAAACTAAATGGTATAGAATTTTATTATCAGTCATTTACTTGCCATACAATGAAATGGAATAAATGGTGTGGAATTTTAGTATCTATGCATAACCAATTGTTTACAATTGACAAAGCTATCAGTAAAATTTGGAGAATTTTGTATATTTACAATGAAAATAGCACCCAATAGCAATGTAGTTTTATTGTCCTTTTTGGTCCTTTTTGCCATTTGACAGCCCTAGGTCACCATGTGCTTTTGTTGTAAAGCATCTTCTATTGTGTTCCATTAAAGAAAGCAAGTTTGGAATGACATGAGGCCATGATGACACAATTTTCATGTTTGGCTTAGCTATTCCATTAAAGCATGATTTCCCTTGCTTTGCAGTCATTCCAGTATCTATCTTACAGCAGAGTTGCTCGTAAACACACACACACACATGTTGCTGTCAGTCAGCGTGAGGGATTTGAGGTACCTGACTGCGGAGCTGCTCTGGGCTTCTTATCGCCGTGGCATTGCTGTGGCAGCGGACACAGACAGATGGCTAACTGTCACTCAAACTGAGAGAAGAGAACTCAAGAGGAAAAGAGGATGAGAGAGTGAGGGGAGAGAGGAAGAAGAACAAGACGGACAGACGGGTCTTACCAGGGTTTACCATGTTTCTCCAAAGAACAGCAGCTCAGACACACACGCAGATGCCAAAAATCTCTGTAGGGTTCTTTTACGACTCTGTGAATCATCATCTTTGTGCGTGTACGTGTGATGTCTTGAGTGTTTCATGGTGCCATATTGTTTTGATCCTTATTAATTGCTTCTTTTATGGTGACTGTTTTAAGATTTGAGTGAACAGAACAACAACAGAGGGACAGAAATAGAAGGAGGGAAGGAGAAGAAAACAGAAAGAAGAGGCAGTCGAAGAGCAAAGGGAGCGAGGGATTCAGAGAGATCTATATTTGATGAATATTTGAACGTTTTAAAGCCCCCAGACCAAAGTTTTCCCTTCTTACTGAGACAAAAGCTAACCACAAACACCAGGGAGAAGAGAAAGGTAAATGAGAGAAAGAGAGCGAGAGAGATTTTTGCACTTAAATTCCCAGCAGCCTCTATCTTCTGCCAGCGGTTTTTGGCTGAGTTGTTTTTATCAGTGCACAGCTGGCTCTTGCGATCCGATTGGATCAGAAGAAATTCATTTCGCGCCTTTAGCCAATCAGAACATTTTGGTGCAGACCGATGAGCAAAACCATTCCCTGAGTGATGACAGTGATCAGAATAACAATGGCAGTATGGATTCGAGGAACATCAAGGAAACACACACACATATATAGTACACAGATGAACATGTGAGCCATGTTGACCGACCCTGACAGAATGACTGATCAAATCATGTTTTTTTGGGTCAGGTTTGGCCTTCAGTGTGACGACCAAAAGTCACAGGGCATTTAAAACCCAAAATCACCTACCAGAGATTTGATTCTGATTGTGAATCCATTCCGATTTCAATTTGATTCGGTTTGATTCTGATTCATTTGGGCATATGGGTCACAGTTTTTGTCCGTTTTGCTTACATGTGTAAAAAACGTTTTCCAAAAATGACA